TTGTTCATAGCTTGGCATTTTCATTTTTGGGTTGCAGAATCCAGATGTTCCAGCCAGCATGGCCCTCTGGATTAACTCACTGAAGTTAATATAAGTCAAGTATAAGTCAAATAAATAAATAAAGTCTCTTTTAAAGACCATGTCTTTATATTTGTGGCCATTTCTGTGCACGGTGGCAGCTCACAGTACAAAGGGAGTATGTCCTTTAAAATCCAGGATTAGCTTATTAATTAATTGTTCTAATGTGCAAGAAAATCCTGTTCAAAGAAAAGAGAAATAGGCTAAAAAAATCTTCACTCAAAAAGGGTAGACAAAACAAGCAGATAATAAGCCAAAAATACCACAACACAAACGTGTGCATAAATGTATTTGTGCATAAATTTCAGGAAGAGATAACTAAAATCCCAATATGCCTCCATGTAATGTTAAAGTTTAAATATCACACATTAAGATGATTTCAAAGATGCTTTTTAGAAGGAAAAATTCTGGTCTGGAGAAAGTGATGGATAGCCTGGAAGGGAGGAGAAAGAATGGCTGAATACCAGGGAAGGGGAAAAGGCCAGAGCAGGCAGGACCCCGTCTGATTAGGCTTAAATTAGAAGTGAGCCTCACGCACTTTCCCAGTATCTCTAGAATCTTTCCAGCACCCCACCCACAGATATGATTTCAATCCGAAGAGGAAGAAGAGGTTCAGAAAAAGTCATTCTGTTTTCCAGGAAGTGGAGGGCAGTCTTGCTCATTTCGAGGGCTCTCCACTATACCGGACCATCCCTCCAAACCAAGAATGTTAAATCATTTTTTTAAAAATGAGGCTGCCATGGAGTTTTTTCAGTATAAGAAAAAGCAACCCCCCCAAAAAAAATTGTATGCAATGAAAAAAATTGAGGGGGGGACAGTGGAGCTCACAGAAGGAGGTGTAACCCTCCCAGCACCCCGATTCAAAAGACAATACAAATCGCCATAGATTTTTTTGGCCACAGAATGAGTTTTTTCTGCTCCTAAAGACCTCCCAGAATAGCAGGTGGTATTTTTAAGGTGGTTTGTGTGTGTGTGTGTGTGTGCTGGCCACAGAATGAATTTTTTCTGCTCTTAAAGACCTCCCAGAATAGCAGGTGGTACTTTAAGGTGGTTTGTTGGGTATGTGTGTGTGTGCGTGTGTGTGTGTATGGAGGTACCACTGTCCTACACACACACACACACACACATTCCAAACTGGCAGTGGACACCCATGCACATCTTACATTTTATTTAATTGCCATTTCCAGATCTGGTGCTGTTTCATGGGGTTTGTGAGAGGGAGAAATCAGAGTGCCCTCCCCCCCCAATGGCAAAACAGCCCCTTTCTTAATAGAGCACCTCCGGGCAAGGTTCTAGTTTGCCTGCCAACTACACCATCCTTGAAGATTCTCTAAAGGGGGTGGGGGGCTAGGCTTCCTAGTGGCTGCAGATCTTTTGCCTCCTAACCCTTGGGCATACTGCTGGGGGATTCCAGGAACCTTAGTCCCCAGGAACTAATATTTCCAGGTTCTCCTTGGAAGAGGCCAGGGTTGGTGCCTGTCAAACTAGCACTGGGTGGGTAAAGAACCAAACCTCACTAAACCCTAAGTGAAGCCCTAAAGATCCTAAAGCCCAGGTCAGGTCTGGATCTTTCTTTGGAGCAGGGAATGCCTAGGTGCCCCTCTAGGGGTGGAAAGGGAATATACTGTATCTTCAAGGTAACTTTTTAGGAAGCAGGTACAGATCAAAGTGTCAGAGCACCTGGCTTGAGGAGGCAGGGGGGCCAGGAGTGTGAATCCCTGCCGGGCCTTGTGCCTGGGCTCCAAACCATTTGAGGAGGCTCCTCCCACTCCTTCTTTCCTCACAACACCACTGCGAGGGAAGACAGTCTGAGTGTGTGTGACTGGCTCAACCTCACCCAGTAAACAGCTTCCTGGGGTTGTGAACCCAGATCTGCATAGATATATATAAATCCTGAGAAAGAGAGAGAGAGAGAATAGATGCTAAGGTATGATGTCTAGAGGTCAAGAGAAAGATGGATGAATGTGTAGAGGTAAATAGATAAAGGGAGATACAGAGGGAGGGAGATGTAGATCTTGAGAAAGAGGAAGAAAAAGAGATTAAATGTAGACAAATAGGTAGGTGGGTGGGTGGGTAGGTAGGTAGGTAGGTACCTATAGGTAGGTAGAAACATGGATGGGTTTGAAAGAGATGAATACATATTGAGAGAGAGAAGCAGATTGGGGAGAGAGAGAGAACGAATGAACGAACGAACGAATGAACGAAAGAAAGAACGAATGAACGAAAGAAAGAAAGAAAGAAAGAAAGAAAGAAAGAAAAACATATATACTGAGAAAAGGAGAGCGATTCAAAGAGAGAGAGAGGTCGAAGGAGTGTGTTTGTGTGTGGGGGGGACCGTGTTGAAATAGGTACATCTAGATGAGCTTGGGGTAGACAGATAGATAGCCTTCTGCTCTTGCGGCTCTTCTTGGGGTGTCTTCTAAGTAAAACGACCGCGGATGAAATCAGGCCAGTCCAGGTCTAGAGTCGCGG